GTCACTCTATCCACTGAGCCAAACCGGTTTCAGCCACCTTCTTCTTTTAATACCTCAGAAAGATACACTGCTTGTAATCAGATGGTTCAAAGACACATCAGATGGTTCAAGTTTCTTCCTATGACTCTGGTAGGTGATTCTTCAAACGTCTTTAAGAAAAAAAACATCCTTATCCTACTTTTGGGGTAGGATTTTGGAGATTCAATCCATCAGATGTTCTTTTCCCAGAAAATGCTGACATGGGTCTAGGAATTCCCAACTTCTCCTTTAAGTGCAAGTGGGATGCCCTCCCATTGAGGTCAAACTCTGTGATCAGCTCCCTGATTTCCATATTAGGAATCAACTTTACTTTATAAACCTTTACTTGATTGGTGTCTATAACCTGTGGGTCTGTATTTAAGCAGAAACTCAGAATAGGAACACTCTAGGATAGGGGTGTCGAACTCAATCAGAGAAGGGGCCAAAATCTAAAATCCAGCCTAAATCGCGTGCCAAATGGTTTACTTAACAGTCATAAACTGACAATGTTAACCAGAAATGTGAATTTAAAATGAGTGGAACAATCTTTTCCTTAACAGTGCTGTTAACCAACTCACATGCTATCAAGGATTTGGCCCGCGGGCCTTGTGTTTGACACATGTGCTCTAGGACATCTTAAGAGAACAGCCTCAAAAGGCTATTTACTAGCTTGGATAATCAGTATTTATAAAAAGTGATTTGAAGAATATATGTCTGTCCCCTCTTCCAGCTACTATAAATTCTTTTCTTCTATCAACATGAGTATCAAAAATCTATATTGCCTCAGTCCATCACAGAATTGCTATCACTGAGTCAGATTTTTAGTACTATGTCTCTGGGTTAAAGTTGCTATAAAGCTGTGCTTGGGCCTAGGACTGGGTTTGCTGGGTATAATGAAAATTATCTATCTGATTATGTCTTATTTTTCCCCTTGGCTACTAGGAAGCTCAGATCTAAATATACATAAATAGCTGAAACCGGTTTTGCTCAGTGGTTAGAGCATCTACCTGCAGACTGAAGGGTCCCAGGTTCAATTCCGGTCAAGGGCATGTACCTTGGTTGCAGGCACATCCCCAGTGGGGGTTGTGCAGGAGGCAGCTGATCCATGTTTCTCTCTCATCGATGTTTCTAACTCTATCCCTCTACCTTCCTCTCTGTAATAAAATCAATAAAATATATTTTAAATAAATATACACAAATACATGTAAATACACACCTGGTATGTATATATATGTAAACAAACAACATTTAATGTTCTTCGGTTTCTATTCCCTATTGAATTTGTTTATACCCTTTCTTATTTACATGATATAATGTGATCTTTTTGAAAATTCCTAAATTACATAAGTAATTCCTCACAGATGTTTCCTCTTCCTTTTTTGGTATTTCTTATTTGCCTACAATTTGGATTCTGTTTTGCAACCAGGGTGACAGTGTAGCCAAACTGAAAAGTGTACTGACCATTCTTAATACTTAGTTTACAAACTAAAAATTAGATCATCATTGCTAAATGCAATTGTGGCAGAAATTAGCTCCTCTGAAAATTCTCTGTGGCTAGAGAATACCCAGGCTAACTGGTTTTGGAAATAATTAAAATACAACTAAATTTTCGTATTACAAATAATTATGCTTCAAGATGCAGGACTTTGCAATGGTAGCTTCCTGCAGGAATGAAGGCCTAGAATGAAGTCTCTTAGGAGAAAGAACTAACTTTTTTAAGGGCCCACCTAGTATGTTAGGTTTTCACTATTTGCAGTGATAAGGTAGAGCTGGCTCTTACCTACTAATGAGAGCTATTTGTTAAAATTTCAGGAGCCTTGTGAGCTAGTTGATGTCATGTTGATAGTCTAAAATAGGTCATGGTCACCCAGCCAGTATGTCTCAATAGTTGAGGATCCACCCATGAACCAGGAGGTCACAGTTCGATTCCCGGTCAGGGAACATGCCCAGGTTTCGAACTCGATCCCCAGAGGAGGAGGGCGTGCAGGAGGTAACTTTTCAATGATTCTCATCATTGATGTTTCTCTACCTTCCTCTCTGAAGTCAATTAAAAAATGTTTTAAATAGGCTATGGTGGGAGTATTTATACCATACAAATTGGAAATGCTACAAATCAATCAGCCCCTCTATTCCCAGAGAGCTGGTGGTAAAACATTCATCAATCCACCTCAGTTGTCACTTACAATTAGCAATGAGATAGGTAATCCTGTCCTCATTTTATAAACAAGGCAACATATTTTTAAAATCTTTCGGATTTAGAGAGAATTTACAGAGGGCACAAAAAATATCCAAAAATAGTGCTCTGGCCAGTGTATCTCAATGGTTAGAGCATTATCTCATGCTCCGAAAGTTCTGGGTTCAATTCCCAGTCAGGGCACATGCCTGGGTTATGGTTTTCTCCAGTGTCAGGGTGCGTGCATGAGGCAACCAATCATTTCTGACTTACATAGATATTTATCTCTCTCTTGTCCTCTACCTTCCTCAATCTCTAGAATCAATGAAAAACTTATCCTCAGGTGAGGATTTAAAAAATCCAGCCTGGCTGAAACCGGTTTGGCTCAGTGGTAGAGCATCGGTCTGCGGACTGAAGGGTCCCAGGTTCGATTCCGGTCAGGGGCATGTGCGTTGGTTGCGGGCACATCCGGTGGGGGGGGGTGCAGGAGGCAGCTGGTCAATGTTTCTCTCTCATTGACGTTTCTGGCTCTCTATCTCTCTCCCTTCCTCTCTGTGAAAAATCAATAAAATATATATTTTTTTAAAAATTCAGCCTGGCCAGTATGGTTCAGTGATTGAGCATCAACCCATGAACCAGGAGATCACAGTTCGATTCTCAGTCGGGGCACATGCCCGGCTTGTGAGCTCAACTCTTAGAAGAGGACATGCAGGAGGCACTGGATTCTCTCTCAGCATTGATGTTTCTATCCCTCTCTCCTTCTCTCTTCCTCTAGTCTAGCTGAAATCAATTTTAAAAATCCAAATACAGAAAGAAACTGCCAAGACAGGAATAGGTACAGGTACAGTACTGATCCTAGGGGGCTATATTCAGAAAAGACAGACCCTATTCCGAGAAGATTGCCAAATTAAGGTTCAGAAGGCTGTGAAGAGGACAGTGCCAATGAGGGTCAAAGGGGACAAAACAAAAAATCCTCCGGGGGAATTCAAGGCTCTTCCACCCTTTTCCAACTCCAAGTCTCCTACCTTGGTTGGAGGCATCACATTTAAAGGCAGGAAATTCCAACACCACTATCCCATCTACCCACCCTCTACTCTCTCCCACCCACCCCTGTAGGAAGCATTTGCTCAAGCTTGAAGGCAAGAATTGGGCCATGTTTCCCAGGAGGCAAAGTTTTCAGGCAAGTTTAAAGATCAATCCACACGAGTATATTCCTTTCCCTTCAGGTGTGCTTTCTAGCAGTAACTGGAATGGAAAGAGCCCTTGGCTGTCCCCAGCATTCCTGGCCACCTTCTTCCCCTTTGTGGTACCTTCCTTTCTCTTCTAGTAGTTGGATCCAAGGCAGAGGCCTTGGCCTTAAAAAAAAAAAGGCCAACATGAGCAGCCAGTGCCAGCTCAGCTATAGGCATCCAGGTGAGGTTCTGGTTTGTTTTAAATTTGGGTTTGGACCAGCTCATAACCAATTTTTACTGTGTCAGTCATTATTCTGTCATGTATTTCCCTTAGGAAACTTGAGGAGAAGGGAAGCTGTGGTCTGGGCCATGGTTAAGGTAAGCGCAGATTACCTTGCCCATTGTCATTTTCCCAGAATTCACATAGTTCACAAGTGGCAAAGCCAGGATTAACCTAGGTGTGATTATTATAGGGCCGGTGCTCTTCCCAAGGAGCTCCTTCTGTGACATTGGGCTGGGCCAAGAGACCTTGGGAGAAATTCTCCTACTGGAGTCCTAGAGGAGAGTTAAACCTCTCTTCTCACATGCTGATCTGTTTTCTGAAAAAAGGGAGAAAAGGTGTAAAAGCAGACAAAAGCTCTTCTTTGAATGATATCTTAAGTATGAGTGAGATAATGTGCATATAGTGCTTAGTCAGTAATTGGCATTCCATTAATGGCAGCTAATTTTGCAATATACTGTACTTCTATACTATGATTACAGTAATTCTTGGGCTCCAGGAATAAAATATGAAATTTGAGTAATGTGTAGATCAAGGGGCACCTCTCCTACCTCTGCTCAAATATATTATCTTATTTTGAAGTGATTAAGAAAGGAAGGAACTTGGAGTTGGGATTCAAATAGTCCCCTAAGTTTTCAAAATGTAATGAAAATTAGTATCTTCAGTATTTCCTTGGGTTTTTTTGTTTCTACTTCCTAAATGTCTTTATAGAGCATGGGTTGTGAACCTTTTTTTCTGCCAAGGGCCATTTGGATATTTATACAATAATATCATTCATGGGACATACAAAATTATCAACTTAAAAATTAGCCTGCTATATTTGGTTAAATATTTAGCATGTTAAGTGCCAAACCTGTTTTGTCTTCCTTTCCATTTTAGTCACCGGTGACTGACATGGCACTTAATGTGTTAATTAACTTACCCCTAATGCCTTAACAGGGCCAGACCAAATAATGTTCCCACCCTAGTCTAAACAAACCATCCTAACCCGTTCCCCTTTATCACAGGTTGGTTAAGAGGTGTGAATTTCACTAAATTCTGGCCAGTGGTGTCTGTAAAGATGTTTGTTGGCCTTTTTGCAAAACTGAAGATGTATGCAAGAGAAACTTCTTTCTTTGGCTTTGCTTGTGAAGACATAATGCTGAGAGCAATAGCTGCCATCTTAACATCACTAGAAGATCATAGAAAAGCTGGTCCAGAGTCATCATATTATCAAGCCAAAGAACTAATCCTGAATTTTCTACCTCAATGATTATATCATGTGAGAGAAAAATAAATCCTATTATTTAGTCACATATTCTATAACTTGCAGCCAAAATCATCCTAACCAATATACTTTATCATTTCACAAACTTACCCCAAAATGTCCTTCAGGTTGTGGCAAGAAAACTTTATCAAAGGCACAGTGGGAATAAGGGCAGTCACTGGTGTCGAAGAGCCTAAGGATACTTTTCTGGCATTCCTGATAGTTTCCAGTGCCGTGGATTTGCAACTGGGTGAATGGAAGAGTCGGTTTATTTTCCTTGTTGCAGGGGTTGTTGATAAGGTCACTTGTGTTCATTTTCCTGCTGTATCCAAGGTTGAAACACGGGTCATTGATGTTTTCTTTTGAAACCTGAATGGAAAAAAATCACTTGAAGAGGTCATGTGCAAAGCTTTGGGTACAAAAGCAACTGACTTCATTAATGTGTAAAAATTGTACAGTATCCCAGCACTCGGCATTGGCTGCAGAATGCCTCTGTCTGAGGTTTTCCAGTCTTGGGAATAGGCAGATTTGTACCACAGGCACCATAAGTAGCATCAGATATAAATAAACTTTCTCTATTCATAGAAAGCAAATATAATTCAAACTGGGCCCAAAAATGCCGTTGGTTTGGAATGTTCCTCAGTTCTAATCACATATGTCAGAAATGATTTCCTCTCGAGGTTCCTGGGTCCACATCAGATCAACAGCAAGAAAAGAGGGGCTTCAAAGACAGTCTGAAACTGCAGCAGTATCGAAGCAGTACAGTCAATGTTAGGAACAATGGGAAACTACAGAGACTCTCAAAATTCTGAGCCTGGATATTTCTCCAGGAGTTGGCCCCCACCTCCAAGCAAAAAAATATATATAAATTAAAAAAAAAATCAGAAGCTGTAAGACCTGAAAGTGCTTCAAATTACTTGCCAGTAGAATCAAAATGGTCTTTAACCCACAACCCAATATGTTCAAGAGAAGAAAGGTGACTGCTGTGGATCAGAGGCTTATGGAGCCTGTGCTCAGTAGGCATCTCTCAGCCCCCACGCCTGTGGAAGTCATCTGTTGGATAGTGCTTCTGAGAACCAGAGCATGCTTTGGAGGAGAATAGAGAACTGTTATCCTTTTAGTGGAGACAGGGAACAGCTGGATGTGACATCCTTGTTCTGTGTTTGTTTATCAGGGTGTGCCTGGTACTCGCATAATTGCAAGTATGTTTAACTTTCTTGTCTTCAAAATGCAGAAAGCGTCTGGGGACAAGATATAAAGTGTTGATCCATTAACTTTGTGTTTTCCCTGAGCATTTTTTCTCCTCCTCTCCAGGTTGTTTCTAACAACCCTGTTTTCTGCAATTTGTAGGAAATAGAGATTAAAAAGTGGGAAAGAGGTTATAAACTGCTCACACCCTCCCCTATTATAATGCCCTAGTGTGTAATTTTTATTGTCAATCCCACAGGGCTGAGAAATTATTTCCCAAGAAATGATCTGAGTCGTGTCCTTGGAGATTGTGCAGTAAACAAATATAGGAGGGTGATGTCTGGAGGAATGATTCTTACGTGTCGACCAGATGTACTTAGAAAGGTTTGGAAAGTACAGTAACCAACTTCAGATCAATCATTGAAGTAGAAGAGAAAACAACAGGATGTGGGGGCTGGCAGCCCAGATGTGGAAAAGTCAGGTCTGGATTCAGTTATACTTGCCTCACTGTCCTTGATTAGTTTCTTCAAGAGCGCTTGATCCTTCCCGTAGCACAAGAAGCTGTGTGTGTACACATTGTAGTCCTTGCCATACAGACGAAAGTACAGAGCATTATTTGGAGACTCAATTGTCTGGTTTTGGGGCACAAAAGTGATTTGTGTAGAGGCTCCCCCAAGGTCCAAAGCTCCATACGTTTCCTCATTATTGGTTTCATTTCCCAGCGGGTAGAGCCATCTCAGTTTCTGAAGGAGAGTACAGTTACCATTGGTAGAAATCTCTGGATACCTACTTTTTCACATTATTCCTCAGACTCAAGAACTTCCTAATGTAAAGGAGCAGGGGCCTAAGGGTGACACAAAGCTTCCTGGAGATTCCTGAATCCACATCAGATCAAGCAAGAAAAGAGGGGTTTCAAAGACATAGCTCAGAATGCAATAGTATCGGAGCAGTACAGTCAGAATCAGGAATGAGGGATTTGGGGCTAGAAAGACTCAAATTCATATCCTCACCTATTTGCTCATTAGCCATGTAACCTTGAACAGCATAATTACCATTTTCTAGGCCTCTATTTGGGACTCTAAAATGAGAGAATATCTCATATGGTTGTTCTGAAGATTAGCATAGCAGAAGACACATAAGTACTAGGCAAATATTAGCTATTCTTTTTAATGATAGACTTTTATGTCTCATTCTGAAGTTATGGCTTCTTTATTCTCCAATAGTAAAAGTTCTTCTAAGAGAATTCTATCTCTGGTGACCCTTTTAAATATGGGGGTAAATTAATTTGTCCAATTCATCCATCATTTATTCTGACAGACAATCCAAGTACTGCCTGAGATAGCAATGGCATTGGCCCCCAGGGAGCCACTCACCTTAGTGAATTTCCCCAGCAGATAGTTGATAGTAATCCAACCATAGGCACCTTCCTCTTTGCCAGAGATGATTCTGGCACCCTGGAAGTCAAAGGGGAAGCTTCTGAGAACCTCTGTCAACTTCTCCAGGACTTCATCTGCCAGGTTTTCATTTTCAAGTCTATGCAAAGGAAGAGCTGAGCTTACATGTTTTGTTTTAATAATTGCAACTACCCATCTCAGCCACAGCTTCTAGTCACTTCTCCCAGGAAGTGAATGATCACTTACTGGAATAAACAGATGGAAATGCCAACACATGGCTGTCTGAGGGGCCTCCTTTGGGAGAAGCAGAACTATCTTTTAGCCCCTCTCTCCAAATCCAAATCCTTCCAATCACTGAATAGGTTCATCTTCTTAAAATACCACTTGTTGATCCTGGCTCCAAAAACTTATCAAAGTAATTTTAATTATTGTGGTGGTGGTAGCTGGGTATTGTTTGATCACCACTCATAGAGCTAGTGTGCCATGTTAGCCATCGCTGGTAGCTCCTAGCTGGTCACATACCAGGTCCTGCTTGAGGTTCTTAATTAGGACTGTAGTAGACACTGGGTGGCAAATGTCCTGGGACAGACACCCAACCCCCATTGGTGCCAGACTGGGGGAAAGGGGAAGAATCTTCCTCATATTGTGTCTCAGTTCTTGGGTCTGTTTGAGACCTAAAGGAGGGATCTTCCAGGATTGTCATAATGAAGATGGAATGCAGTTGCTTCTAAGATGTTTACTACTCAACATTGAGAGCCTCTGGGTCAGATGATGCTGCCTTCCAGCTGGCATTAGACTCCTGTAATCTCTGACCTGTGTGACTTCCATACTCTACTAACTGGCTCCCTTATCCCTAGTTTTCTTCCCTCCAGCCCACCTTCTCTGCCAGTGGCACCAGTTTTGTAACATCATTTAATGGCTTCCCATTATCTCTCAAATAAACTCCAAACTCCCCAGCCTGCCTTACAAGGCACTATGTGATCTGGACCCTACTTTCTCAGAATTCCATTCAGAATCCTGACTACCATTTACCAGGTATGACTCTGGGTAACTTACTTAACATTTATAAGTCGCAGCTTCCTTATCTGGTTAATAATCCTACATAATAAAACCTTAATATGTAAATCGACCGAAGGAAGGAATGACTGATGGCTATGACACACACATTCACACAGGGAGCTTCCCCCTGGTAGTCAGTGCACTCCTATGGGGGAGCACCCCTCAGCCAGAAGCCAGGCTCTCTATTTCTTAGCACTGTCTCAGAGGCGGAAGCCTCTCCGGCTTCTGCGGCAGTCAGACATCCCCCAAGGGGTTCCAGACTGCAAGAGGGCGCAGGCCAGGCTGAGGGACCTGCCCCCAGTGCACGAATGTTGTGCACCAGGCCTTTAGTAGTTAATAATACCTCTTACTATATAGAGCTATCATTAAAGCACAGTAATAAGAGCATGGGCACAACAAACCCAAGCCGCTAATATTCTCACTACTATTATTATTACTTTACTGTCTGTACCATATGTCCTATCTCTTTATAGTCTTTGGAACATGTCCTGGTCTCTCATATATGCCTGCCTTTGCATATCTATTAATATACAGGCTCTAGGAAGGCAAGGATTCTTTCCTCTTCACCGAATCCCCAGAACTGTGCATGCCACATAATAGGTGCCAAATGAGCATAGATTAAGGAATACATGATGTCTGCTCTGTCTGTGGTTCCCTTACCCCACCCTCCAACTTATCCTTCAAGATTCAGCTCACATGTCCCCTCCTCTGATAAATCTTCCTGCCCCGCTCCCATTCTGGGCAGGGTGAAGTGTGCTCCTGTAGCAGCTTTGAGGAGCCTTCTATTAAAAAACTGATCACCCTGTATTGAAACTCTGATCTCCTGAAGGGCTGAAGTCCCCTAATTCCATATCCTGGGACCTAGTAGGCAGTCAATATATGCTGCATTAATGAATAAATGAACAAATAATGCACACCAATACATAAAGATGTGCTAGTTGTGATTATTTGTGTCTTGGGACACCTGCAACTCTCTTGGTCTTCCCCCTCCCAGGGATTGAATGGCTAAATCTGTAGCCCCAATCTCAGAGTATATATAGGCTCAGTATTTTTCTCTGTGTCCTTACCCCCTTGAATTTCCTGGGGGGGGGGGGGTGAAGGGAAGGGCAAGAAGGATTTTTTTTAAATGTACTTAAACTCCTAAGGTTACACATATTAAAAATTTGGAGGTTTTATCCACTCACTGAGAGTCAGGATATTTAGAATTTTGGACATTAGGGAAATGTGGCCCTCTCCCATAACTTCAGAGGCTCCTTGCACTGCCAAACCTAATTCCCAGCTGCTCTTGGTCCCTATGTATTGCCATACCTGAGCAACCGCATGCCTGCCGTAGCTCCCAGGTAAACAGGTGTCTGTGTGTACTGGACGACTGGAATTATTTCCTTGGCTTTTTGCATGCAGGCATTCAGATAAGTTTTTAACTCGTGTGTTTTATGAGCAAATTTTGAGATTCCAGGACCTAGGAAAAGATGTAGAAGCAGATAATAATATATTTTTTAAGTATAGAACATACCTTGACAGTATTATAGCAAAATACTGGTGTTTTCTGATTAAATTCAATAAGACAATTTCTTTCTTTTTTTTCTTCTTTTTTTTTTTAAATATGTTTTATTGATTTTGTACAGAGAGGAAGGGAGAGAGTTAGAGAGTTAGAAACATCGATGAGAGTCATCGATCAGCTGCCTCTTGCACACCCCCTACCGGGGATGTGCCCGCAACCAATGTACATGCCCCTGACCGGAATCGAACCCGGGACCCTTCAGTCCGCAGACCGACGCTCTACCACTGAGCCAAACCGGCTTCGGTAAGACAATTTCTTGATGTGATATTGCTCTACTTAGAAGGTAACTCACTGAACCAACCTCGCGCTGGGTCTGTCTGCTGTTCAATAATTTTGCCACTGGATGGCGCAACTTTCACATTTAATTACATAACCTTCCTAACAGGTTCAGATTCTAATGGGAATCTTATAGTTATTTTATGTAGCCATTTTATCAAGTTTCTTCCACGACATTGTAATTAACAACACTAATTCTAGAAGATCTAAAGGGATAATAATGACATATAAAACAAAAATTAAAAATAAGCACCAGGCACATTGGCTTTCACTGAAAAGATAGGAACTGCTACTAATTAGCTACGGAATCTAATTAGAATAAACAGGAATAGCATCCATGTTTCCTTAGTGATTTTTCCACTCTGATTCCATGCCTCCCTAGAAATACTGTTTTTTCAGTTGTAGGGCAAAACTAATTGTACTATGGAGAGGATGAAAGCCAAGATTCTGTAAGCTTTTTGAAGTGAGCAATTTCAGTTCACTTTAAGATAGCATGCACCCTGTCAGTGCTTTATAGTGATTTTAAGATTTTGTTTAATGATAAATATCCAGATATGTTATCCATATCTAATTTTCAGGTTTATAAAAAGCCCGTTACTTAGCCATCATCAGAAAATCAGCTCCAAATTATCATCTATTGTTTTAATTCAAAAAGTCTGGCCTTCAAGAATAGGTGGGACCCAGCTTCTGTGCTTTAACAAACCCTACAGGTGGTTCAAATTTGAGAACCACTGGTTAAGACATGGGTTTTTTAGGTGGTAGAATCTCCATTTGAATCCCAGTTCCATCACTTACTAGCTCAAGCAACCTTAAACACTTGGCACAGTATTGCACAACCTCAGTGCCCTTGTTTTAAAAATGAGGATAAAAATACATGCTTCACAGGGAGATCATGAAGATGAAATAATACTTTTAGTATTTATATTGGTGCATGGCATCTTATTGATGGGAGGGACTATTGCACAGTTATTTTCTTAATTAAATCTTTTTTGTTGAAAGTATTACATGTGTCTTCTTCCCCCCCTCCCCTTCCCCATTGAACCCTTCTAGCCACCCCTACCCCCCACTCCTGCCCCAGGTCTTCACCACCCTACTGTCTGTATCTACAAGTTCTTTGCTTGCATACCAGTTCTTTAGTTGATCTCTTCCCACCCACTCACCTTCCCTCCCCTCTCCCTCTGAGATCCGCAGTTCTATGCTTCTATGTCTCTGGACCTATTTTGTTCATCAGCTTATTTTATTCCACATATGAGTGAGATCATGTGGTACTTGTCTTTACTCAGTTATTTATTTATTAAGTCTGTTTATGCATCAAGGGCTCAGTCCTTAGGGCTGATTTCAGTATTATGTTAATGACAATGGCATAACAGCAGTAGCTCCGCTGTACTCTTCACTGGACTTACTTTTCTTCAAGTGTTCCACTTGCCACATGCATCTCGTGTCTCGTGGGCCCCCCTCCCCTTTTTCTTCATCTTACCTTGTACCAAGCACTCTCCTAGCTGAGTCACCACCCCTGTGTCATTCTCCTTTTCTGCCGGCCACATATAGATGTACAAAGTCGTGTGCGAAGAGCCTCCATCCAGCACAATCCCATACTGAGGGCAAAACAAACCAAGAACTTATTAGCATTACATTATTCTTCTCCACATTCAGCTTGCAACAGAAACAAAAACAAAAACAAAAACAAACAAAAAATGACCAAGACAGGAATTTTCAAAAACATGAGGAGAAAGTATTTTAATTCAAGAGGAACACGGAGTGGGGTGTGTTGCCTGGAATTGTCCTGGTCACAAGATCTACCAGAACTCCAGTCACCTCAGCACAGTGGTCATCACGACTTACCTAGGGCTGAGCCTGAACATTAGTATTGTTTGGAAGTTTCTGGGGCAGTTTTCATGAACAGCCAAGATTCCAAACCATATGCTGAAGTGGTGAGACAGTATACAGGGAATAGAAAGCCATTGGTTTAATAGTTCCCAAACTTGTATGCATAGCAAAATTATTAGAATCACCTAAAGAGCTTCAAAGACCAGTGCTACCTGTGTTCCACAGCCCAAATATGGAATTTAATTGGTCTGGTACGTGGTCTGGGCTTTGGAAGAGAGACATGGAAAATACTACATTTGCTTACTTTTTATTACAAATATATCCAGAAATTGGAATTGGATTGGAATCACAGTAAAAAAAACAAAAAAAAACAAACAAACAAAAAAAAAAAAAACACTTATGCTCCTTTTTCAGAGAAATATAGGAATAAGGGCTGGACAGTAGTTTTCGGATTGGTGCCCCTTTTAAGAACTTTTATGAAATAGAACTTTTATAGCAAAGTATGCAAATCTTAGCTGAGCAAACCAATGAATTTTTGTATGTGCACATCTATGTAAATCAGCACCAAGGTGCCCCTCTCAGTCAGTTTCCCTCATGGGTGACCACTGTCTTGACTTTTGTCACCATGGATGAGTTTTGCCTGTTTTCTGAGCTGCAGTAAATGGAAGACATAGTGTGCCTCCTTTCTGCCTGTTTACACTACACTGTCTCTCTCAGATGCATTCAAACTATATCAGTAGTTTGTCCCTTTTCATTTCCATAGAGTATTTTATATATTGTATTTTCCTGCACTCTACTGTTCATAGACATTTGGGTTGTTTCCAGGTTAGGACTATTGGAAATAAACCTGCCAGGAACATTCTTGTACATTTCATTTTGTGTACATGACCTCTCATTTCTCTGGGATGTTCACCCAGGAGTAGACTGAAGAATGCCCATTTTGATCAATTAATATTCACCTTTGATTACATCCCTGATTAGTCAGGGGAAAATAAATGCCATCACTGAATAATAATGTCTGCCACAGGCTTGTGAGGGGCATGTGTACTTTTCACTTATCTCTATACTGGAGAGGAAAATAAATGGGGAGAGAAACAGAGGACATGCTTCTGAAGTGTGAGTCAACTACTCTCATCACACGCTGCTCCTTTCAGTTGTGGACCTCCAAGTGTGATGGTCCCCCTAGGTATTCTCCCTCCCAGGAATACACCCACACCTTCCCTCTCCTAAACTCTAAGAGTTCCCATGAAACTTACAACCAGGGGAACAATGGGGTATCAGTAGCTCATCTGGGGCTAACCCCCTAACTATCTACAAGGCCCCCTTTTCTCTGTCTCTCCAGTGAGCTGACAGCAGCCCCGCCTTGGCTCACTTCTTTCCCATAACCTTTTTAGGAGCCAAAGCAGCCCCACCTAGACTCTCCTGTTGCTTCTTCTCTCCCAAGTCTTTCCTTGTCTCACTTTCCCCAACTTTAATAAATGTCCTCTAAAATTCATCTGGATTTGTGTTGTGAAATCTTTCCTGCATGAAGTCAAGAATCCACACACTACTGGCTGGCCCGAGGCAAACCCTCTTTGGTCCCTTTTTTTCTGGTAACATTAATTCTATGGAGTCCTAAGTAAAAGTCATGCTGAGAATGGTAAAAACTAGAAAAAAGGGTAACAGATGATCTAACTCTACAACTCAAAGAGTTAGAAAAGGAGCAACAAGAAAAGCCCAGTGTAAGCAGAAGGAAGGAAATAACAAAAATCAGAGCACAGATAAACGACATAGAGACAAAAAAAACAATACATAAGATCAACAAAACCAAGAGCTGGTTCTTTGAAAGAATAAACAAGATAGATGGACCTCTAGCCAGGCTAACCAAGAAACAAAGAGAGAGGACCCAAATAAACAAAATCAGAAATGAAAGAGGTGAAATAACAACAGACCCCACCGAAATACAACAGATTGTTACAAAATACTACGAACAACTCTATGCCAACAAACTGAACAACCTGGAGGAAATAGACATATTCCTAGAAAAATACAAACTTCCAAAACTCAATCAGGAAGAATCTAAAAATCTCAATAGACCAGTGTCTTGGGAAGAAATTGAAACAGTCATCAAAAAGCTTCCAGCAAACAAAAGCCCAGGGCCAGATGGCTTCACAGGAGAGTTTTACCAAACATTCAAGGAAGAACTAAAACCTATCCTCCTCAGACTATTCCAAAAAATCCAAGAGGAAGGAACACTTCCAAACTCCTTCTATGAAGCCAGCATCACCCTAATACCAAAACCAGATAAAGACAACTCAATGAAAGAGAATTACAGGCCAATATCCCTCATGAACATAGATGCCAAAATCCTCAACAAAATTCTAGCAAATCGACTCCAGAAGAACATCAGAAAGATCATGCACCATGACCAAGTAGGATTTATTCCAGGAATGCAAGGATGGTACAATATCTGCAAATCAATAAATGTGATACATCACATAAACAAATTGAAAGATAAAAATCATATAATCATATCAATTGATGCAGAAAAAGCATTTGATAAAATCCAACACCCTTTCCTGATAAAAACTCTTAACAAGGTGGGAGTACAAGGATCATACCTCAACATAATAAAAGCCATATATGATAAACCCACAGCCAACATTATACTCAATGGGCAAAAACTAAAACCATTCCCTCTAAGAACAGGAACAAGACAGGGATGCCCACTCTCGCCACTCCTGTTTGACATAGTACTAGAAGTACTAGCCATTGCAATTAGACAAGAGGAGGAAATAAAAGGCATCCAAATTGGAAAAGAAGAAGTAAAGTTATCCTTATTTGCAGATGACATGATATTGTACATAAAAAACCCAAAAGACTCCATTAAAAAACTAATTGACTTAATAAGTGAATTTGGCAATGTAGCAGGATACAAAATTAATGCCAAGAAATCCATGGCATTTCTATACACCAACAGTGAAACTACAGAAACAGAGACTAAAAAAGCAATTCCATTTACCATCGCACCAAAAATATTAAGATACCTACGAATAAATTTAACTAAGGAAGTAAAGGACCTATATGCAGAAAACTACACGACACTGAAAAAAGAGATAGAGGAAGATGTAAGGAGATGGAAGAATGTACCATGTTCATGGATTGGTAGAATCAACATCATCAAAATGTCCATACTTCCTAAAGCAATCTATAGGTTCAATGCACTCCCCATTAAAATACCAACGGCATATTTCACTGACCTAGAATGAACTCTCCAAAAGTTCATTTGGAACAATAAAAGACCCCGAATAGCCACAGCAATCTTGAGAAAGAAGGGTAAAGTAGGAGGGATCTCAATACCAGACTTCAAACTGTATTACAAAGCCACTGTTCTCAAAACAGCCTGGTACTGGCACAAGAACAGACATATAGATCAATGGAATAGAATTGAGAACCCAGATATCAACCCAAATCACTATGCTCAATTAATATTTGACAAAGGAGGCACGAATATACAATGGAGTCAAGACAGTTTCTTCAATAAATGGTGTTGGGAAAATTGGGCAGACACATGCAAAAGAATGAAACGAGATCACCAACTTACACCATACACAAAAATAAACTCAAAATGGATGCAGGACTTAAACATCAGACGGGAAACCATAAAAATATTAGAAGCATCCACAGGCTGCAAAATCTCAGACGTATGCCAAAAGAACTTCTTCACTGATACTACCCCTAGGGCAATGGAAGCTAAAGAGAAAATAAACAAATGGGACTACATCAAAATAAAAAGCTTTTTTACAGCAAAAGAAACCATCAACAAAACAACAAGAAAGCCCACAGTGTGGGAGAACATATTTGCAAATAACACCACTGATAAAGGTTTAATCTCCAACATCTACAGACAGCTGATACAACTAAATAAAAGGAAGGTGAATGATCCAATTAAGAAATGGGCAATGGACCTAAATAGAATATTTTCAAAAGAAGACATAAGGAAGGCCAAAAGGCACATGAAAACATACTCAAAGTCACTAATTATCCGAGAGATGCAAATCAAAACAACAATGCGGTACCATCTCACACCTGTCAGAATGGCCAACATCAACAAATCAACAAACGACAAGTGTTGGCGAGGTTGCGGAGAAAAAGGAACCCTCGTGCACTGCTGGTGGGAATGCAGACTGGTGCAACCACTGTGGAGAACAGTGTGGAATTTCCTCAAAAAACTGAAAATGGAACTCCCATTTGATCCAGTAATCCCACTCCTAGGAATATATCCCAAGAAACTAGAAACATCAATCAGAAAGGATATATGCACCCCTATGTTCATAGCAGCACAATCTACAATAGCCAGAATTTGGAAACTGCCTAGGTGCCCATCAGCAGATGATTGGATCAAAAAACTATGGTACATCTACACAATGGAATACTATGCTGCCATAAAAAAGAAGGAATTCTCATCATTTGCAGCAACCTGGATGGAATTGGAGAACATCATGCTGAGTGAAATAAGCCAATCAATGAAAGAGAAACACCACATGACCTCACTCATTTGTGGATAATAAAGATCATTATAAACTGATGAACCAAAAGATAGATACAGAGACAGTAAAGCAACAAGCAGATTGTCAAATTTCAGCGGGGAGGGGAGGAGGATCTGGGGGAGATAATAGATCAACTGAAGGACTTGTATCCATTCATATAAGTACAACCAATGGACATAAAACTCTGGGGAGGGAGGGGATGTGTGGGAGGGAAGGAGGGGGGGAAAAATCAATAAAAT